GGCATACCCTCGATATAGATGCCGAAACTACTTCACTCGGGGACTGAAAGGCTCCGGCCAAACACAATGACTACGGTCATAAGGCTGTACCAGCCAAACTAACGTGACTCGGGGACGCCCGACCGTCACTATAAAATCACAGGCCTTCAATAGCTTCGAATATACTTCGAAAAGAACCTATTAAACAAGGTAGTCGATATCAGGCAAAAGAGCTTCGACCATGTCAGCTCCAAACTATTGGCTTCGAGATACTCACCCACCGAGCCAAACCTCCCAAGGTGCTTGATCATCGCCATACAACGGCTCACAATCAAGGTTTTTATCAAACCGTCGAAGAGTCGGGCAAACACAACGTTAAAAGTCCTTAACGAGGGAAAAATAAAGCCTATTGGAGGTCGTACTGACCCAATGCATAAGAGCCACTATCGCCAGCCCTAATAAAAAGGTCGTACCGACCTAAAGCATAAGAGCCACTACTGCTAGCCCATATAAAAGGTCGTACCGACCTAAAGCGTAATAGCCACTGCCGTCAGCCCATATAAAAGGTTGTACCAACCAAAACGCGTAAGAGCCTAAGGGCCAGCTTTAAATTCAAAAACTTGAGGGTCAAATGAGCTCGAGTCAAAACCCGACTCGGAGACTGAACCCAAAATAGTTAATCAAATATGCCTAAGGGCAAAAGCATAAGAGCTCAAATGCCTTTTTATACTAAAAGGTCATACCGACCAAAGCGCGTAAGAGCATACGGGCCAGCCCAATGAGCCCTAGGGCCATACTATGAATCTAAGGATTCCTTTTAAGCCAAAGACCAATGCACCCGGCTAACGACTCACAAATATCAAGGTAAAGGGAAATGCGTGAAAAACAAAACCACGAGGCTTCCTTTTATACATGTATGCGAGAGAATACAAGCTTCATTTACAAAGTTCTCTGAAAGCACTATACAGAAAGGGAAAGCCTAATCTACGTCCCCTTCGGGGACTATGGCCCGTCGGCCTCTTTCTCTCTATCCTCGACATCAGACAAAAGGGACCTAGCGTCACGTTCATCCGCTTTTACCTGCTCACCTTTTCCGAGAGGTCGAAGCCCCTGTATGGATCTCCTCAAGGGGTTCCTTTCGAGATTTGTACCGAGCATATTCCTTGATCCTGCTCTCACGGTCAAGAGCCCTTCTCATCTCAGCTCAGCTCGAGCATCAGCAATGTCCTTCAAATAGACCACCACTTTCTTGTCAGCCTTGGTTCGGCTCATTACGACTTCAGCCCGGGCGTCTACAATTTTGGTCTTTATCTTTAAAAGCTCATACTCGAGCTTTGTAATCATATCCGTTTGGACCAAGCTATTCTCACGAGCTAAACGAAGTTGAACCTCGAGGGTGGAAGCTTTAGCCAAAGCGCCTTTCTCCGCTATAGTAAGAATTTCCGCTCGAGCCTTTAACTCATCACGCTCATGTTTGGCTTGCCCAACTTTGCGCCTAAGGCATTCTAGGTCCTCCGTCTTCTTCTGCAGCTAAAATAAATGAAGTGTCAGCCTCGGGGATAGAAAAAGAAACATGTGCCCCATCTAGAGCAAAAATTACCTGCTCATCGAGGTAGCTTTCGTAGTTCAGGCTTCGACTCGCCTCGCATCGCAAGTGCACCAACTTGTCTTCTCTCTCGTCGCAAAGTAGCCTGAGGGACTTCTCCCCATCCATGTCTTTTCGTAGCATGGCCTCGCGACGAAGCAGCTCGGACTTGAGCTTATCAAAAGCCTATGAAAGAGAAACTCAATAAGACAGTAAAAATTACAAAACTATAAAATCAACACGGATAGCCAAAACTCCCCTCAAAGTAGAGCCGCTAAGCTTTCTCGAAAGTTGAGCACACATCTACTAGACTGGCTCCATCTACCCCGGTAGAACCGCTCCCAGTTGAGGCGAGATCGCTTAGTGTATGCGGCCCCTGTCTTCGAACATCCCTCGAAGTACCTTCGATGAGGGAAGAAGTCGGTGGTGGAAAACCCCCATCCCTCGAGGTGCCTTCGACGAAAAAGGAAGATGACAACAGAGGTAAAACCATTTTTCTAAAGCCAGAGATCTTGGTTGCAGTAGGCTCAACTGGAACATCCTCTCCGAGCCCCCGACTTGGACTCACCTTGCTATAAGCACCATCGCCCTGCGAAGGCCCTTTTTGCTTATTATTATCATTCTGTAGTCTAGAAGCTAGCGATCCTTCTCCCTCTCCGAGAGGGAACGGTCTCACCTCATAGGACTCCCCGATGCCTACGATGACAGGGTTAGTAAGCGTAAAAAGAAAGTGCTTTCCAAAGAACGAGCAAGTCATATAGCACTTACCGTGGTGTTTGGCCTCCCATCTACCCTTAGACAAAGCTCACCACTTACGCTCATTGTAAGTCGAGTGAGTCGCCAACTTCCGAGCCCAATCTGTCAGGTCGGGACCTCACGCGACGTCCATGAAATTGCTGCAGGAAGGGAAAGGAAGGCGCATTTATTGAACCCATCTATGCCATAAGCAAAACTACAAAGGCACAAGTATATCACTTACGTGTAAAATTCCATTCCTGGGGAAATGGCATAAACTCCACAGGGATAATATCGACTGTTTGTACTCGGATGAATCGACTCATCCATCCCCGATCCCCATCTTCTTCATTATCAACGACGAAAGGCGTGACGGATCGACATCGTAGGGTCAGTAGACCCCGATGGTGAAAAGGCCGATACAGCCTGATGAGATGACTAAGAGTGAATTCAAGCCTCGCTTCTTCCGCGAAGAACCTAATCAACAACACTATCCTCCAAAAGGACGGGTGAACCTACGCCAAGGTAACCTGGTACTTTCGACAGAAGTCGAGCACAACCCTATCAAGGTGGACCAATGTAAAGGGATACGTGTACACATTCAAAAACCTCGTGGCGTGATCCATGATGCTCTCTTCCGAGGAAGGTGCCTCCAGCACTACCTTTTCTCCCCATACTCAGTCTTTCCTTACTAAATCAAGGTGCCCCTCTCCTACTAAAGAAATAAACTTTGAGGCATACTCCCACTGATCCCGAGCATTTTGGTTTAAAAGGCCTTCAAGGGCGGAAATCCCCTCTCCCTGCCGAGCAGACCCTGGTATAGCAGCTGTAACTGTGATAAAACCAGGGAATTGAAGCAGGAATTCGAGCAAGGGCTCCAAAGTTGAAATGGTGAAGGGCCTAACACAGGAAAGAAAAACTCTATAGAGGAGGATAACTACTTGGAATAAGAAAATCCTAAAAAGAAGAAATACAACCCTATATGTGGAGAAAGCAGCGACTATCCGCCAGCCCAAAAGGCCAATTAAAAATTCTAACTAAGCTATTGTTCGCCTTGGGAAGCTGTATCAACGGAATTGCCTTGGTCGCTTCATGACCGTATCATGCAATTATTGCTACCATGCGATATTTCGGGGATCAAAACCCCCCACATCATTACGAGCCTCGAGATGGTGCCCGATCTCGAGGACTTCCGTCAAAAAGAAGACAAGCTCCAAGAAGCCATTAACATCATTCTAAGCCTCGAGATGGTACCCGATCTCGAGGAATTTTGCCAAAAAGAAAAAAGTCTCCAAGAAGCCATTAACGTCACTCCGAGACTCGAGATGGTACCCGATCTCGAGGACTTCTGTCAAAAAGAAGACAGGCTCTAAGAAGCCATTAATGTCATTCCGAGCCTCGAAATGGTACCCGATCTCGAGGACTTCCGCCAAAAAGAAGACAGGCTCCAAGAAGCTATTAATGTCACTATGAGCCTCGAGATGGTACCCGATCTCGAGGACTTCCATCAAAAAGAAGATAGGCTCCAAGAATCCATTGACTTTATTATAAGCCTCGAGATGGTACCCGATCTCGAGGACCTCTGCCAAGAAGAAGATAGGCTCTAAGAAGCCATTAACATCATTATAAGCCTGGTGGTACCCTACCTTGAGGATTTCTACTACTGTAGATGCAAATCATCTACCCGTTCCTCAAGTTAAATGCCCTCTTAGTTTTTTTAATCAGGGGTTATCCGAGTCCAAGTATACCCTCATTCGGGATCTATCTATCAAGCATTAGCGCTATCTTTCGCCTTCGGATCAAGTTAAATGTTTTCTCGATTACTTTAACCCAGGGACCATCTAAATCCGGGTAAGCCCTCATCCGGGTTTTATCTGTAACGCCTTAAGGCTATCTTCACTCTGAGTACAAAACAAGTATCCAGGTCACCCGAGTTTAAGCAAACTCTCACTCAGGGACTGTTTTCAAAAGCCTACAGGCTATCTTTATTCTCAAACATCCGACCAAATCCCCCCTCAAGGACTATCACGGGGTCTGAAAAGCTAAGTTTCGTTTTGAAAGTTCGAAGCCTTACTCTCATTCAACTCGAAGTCGGGGGTCCCGACGACCCGAGTTTATCAATCCAACCCGGGCTCGGTCCAAGGAATGATAAAAGGTTCCACAGAGAATCGTGTTAATCAGTCAAGAGCCAGAGAAATACTTACATATGGGCTTGGTATTCGTACTGATCGGTAGAATCATGCATTTAGATTCTTCACAAATGCAGATAAAGAGAAATATAGCATAAATCAGAAACAAATTGAAGAAACATCTTTTTTATTAATAGACGATGATTACAAAAGCCCATGAAGGGTCCTTAGACAGAAAAAGAGAAGTCAAAGAAAAAGGAAAAAATGTATATAACAGCTACGAGCCTAATCCATTTTCTGGGGTACATCCTCGGGGGTAGTGTCTTCGAGAACCGTTTCCTCGGGGCCTCCTCTCGATCTTTCAAACAGTATCTTTAAGATAAAGAAGAAGTAGAAAACTATGACGAAGAAGAAGCGGTAAAAGATGAAGAAGTGGCTGGGTGAAAAATCTGGCGAGTATGGGTCTCGCCAGCATTACTATTGAGAAGCCACTTCTCGAGACATTGTATCGGTGCGGGATGCAACAGTTAGTAGATGGTACCACCTCACTCCACGAAAAGCAAAAGGAGCGAGGCGCCACACCGGCTAATTAGGAAGGATGAGTAGAAGTTCGTGGTGCATATACCCTTTAATGCGAGGGTAATTTGAGATTTCTCTCTCATTATCTCGGGCCAACAACAACAACAAACAACAACAAAAAACCAATACAATTCCGCTTAGGAAGGGAAAACTTGGAAAGAAACCATGGCGCAACTGATAAGGACACTGCCATGTAACCTTAAGGCCACGGGCCTCAAACATAGGAAATAACAATGGATGAAGGTGAAGAGAAGAAAGGGGTAAAGGGTTGTTAAAGAACATTTGAATGAAGTTTGATTTAAGAAGGCTTCCATTTATAGGAAGGGTGAGAGCGTAACCGACGACGCAATCAATGTCTTTGAAAGACGTACCAGCAGGCGCAATCAATGCGTTCTCGGGAACTGTACCGGCGGCGATATTATCATTTTGGAGAATATAAATTGGCAGTACATTGAATGATTCTGGAAAGGTGAATCGACGGGACGCCTCAGTTATCACAAAGGCTTACGTCATGAGTATGACATCATCACGGTAAGGTCGAGGAGATAGATATCGAAGTCGTTTCTTATTGTTTCACTCCAAGAAAGGCGGGGACTATTTGTATACGGTAAAATCGGAGGGTCCAATTTTTGATCATTACGACGCCCCGTAAGCACGCCTCCAAAGGCTTGAGACTTTGGTCGAGATTCACACCCGAGGGGCCATTGACGTCTGACTTCGGGGCGGCACAGATCAATGGTTATGGTGGAAAAGTGGAAAGTTCCCAAGGCGCGTAACTATAGCTGTCAAAGTCTAGTGGGCTAGTTCAGACCCGAATCAAAGCATTAAATGCCTGTACCAGCCCCATATCTTTGCAATAAATACGTTTGTACTATGTTGGGTTTCCCCCTCATATGTAAAGGGGATTCTTGTCATTTTGTAGACATATGTTGCTCAATATTGAATACACAAGAACATTCTCTCTGCTCTCTAACATATTCTCTTGATCTCATTACTTGCATCTATTACCTATATTCATTGTGTTCTATTCATTGTTCTTCATTTATTGCTTATTATTTGTCATAAATAGCCGCTATTGATTCTATCATAACTGTTAATCTGCCCTCGATAGCTCCCAGCCGAGCATCAGACTCGACCCCGAGGCCTCGAATAAGCAAGCTCGAGGCCCCGATTATTAATCATTCGGTTTAATTATCACCTTGTTCTCAAGCTCTTACTTAGCATCTATTGTCTAAACAACTAGCATAAAAATAGATCACGTATTTTTAGAACCACAAATCAAATTTAATTATAATTACCATTTTCAAAGTAAACACTTTTATATTTTAATATTTTTTAGAAATGTTATATTTGAATTTACTTATATGCACTAGCCCCCCCCCCCCCAAACAAAAAAAGGATTTACGGTAATAGTGCAATTGAACTTCTTATAAAAGGTTTTCATTTTATATTTCAAGTTACATGTACCAAATTAATTAACCTAGGCCCTTGAAGAGAGAAGCTCAATGAATATCAGATGCATAGTCCCCTCGCTAAGATCATATCGGCATACTCTTCCAAATAGAAAAAAAGTAGTCACCATTGAAGTGAGAGTGAGATAAAAGCAAGGTCATTTTTGTTCCGATAAGCGACTTCAAAGGCAATCCATTGTATCAGCGATATTGGTTCAATTGAAACAACTATTTTTCAATTAAAAACTTATTATTTTTGTGTGTGCATATATATATAGAGAGATATATATAGATAGTAGTACTACAAATATTGCTTCTTTAGTTTTTTTTTTTCAAAGAATAAAACCATTAAGTTAAAATCATGAATCTGCTTAACTTGACTCTCAACACCTCCCTCCTAACTCATGATGAAATTAAAACTTACCATATCAAACGTTCACATCATTCCCTCCTCATCAAAAAGAAAAAGAAAGAAGAGTCTCTCATCTTGATATTATATTCTCATCATAGAATGCTGTGAGCTACTATGCAGAAAAGTAATTGACACATCTTCAATACTAATAAGGTAATAAAACTCAAAAGTTGGTCATGAGGACTTTTGTCTTGAGTTGAGTGTGATAGGTTAGCATCAAAAGCCAACATGTACACCCTCAAAAGTGAACCACGTTCAATAAACACAGTTACAGACAAACCCTAACCCCACCAAATGTGCCACTTTAATTTGCAATTTCCTTCTTCTCTATAGGATTAAATTTAATTCCCCAAGAGCCTTGGAAATCGAGTTAGTGGAGTTTTTGTACGTTCCCCACAAACATGCCCTTAACCCCTCCTTCTTAGACCATGACTACTAGTAAGTATTCTACATTACTTTTCTCAAATACTACTCTCTTCGTCCTAGTTTATGTGATTGTATTCGAAACTAAATAGTCAAATAGATTATTCTTTTACCATAATTTTCTATATGTCATTAAAATATTTTAAATTATTAATTATTGTCATTTATAATATTCTAAATATAGTTTTAAAATATACAAATTTTATTTTAAAAAATTATAAATTTTATGTCCAAATACATGGTCAAAATTAAGAAGTTTTAATCTCAAAAAATAAAAAGTATTACTCCCTTTGTTTCAATTTATATTAACTTTTTTTTTGTTCATGCTAAAAAGAATGACCCCTTTTTATATTTAGAAAAAATTTACCTTTATGCAATGATTTATAGCTACGCAAAATATATTTGCATCATTTTACACCTCAAGTTCAAAAATCTTCGTACCCAATTAAATAGGTTCACGTAAATTAAAACGAATGGAGTGCATAAATTGAGACAGAGGAAATAGTATACTTCTAATAAATAGGTGTAGTAAAATAAAATTGCAATCAAATTCGACCAAAGGCTATAATCTCGCCTTTATATACGACTCATTGTGTACCTCTTCCTCTTCATACTCACTTTTTCTTGGCTTAGCTTAAGCTTATCCAAGATTGTCAACATCTTTTTCTTTTCCATTTCCATCCTCTCTCTTTCCTTATTTACTCTTCTAACCTACTAGCATGATTGGTGGAACGTTTGCTGACTCTGAAGGTGGATATGGAGGAATAAGTTGGCTGTGGAGGAAGAAGAGAAGAAGGAAAAAGTTGTGTAAATAACTAAAACAAGAAGAACAAAACAATGCAATTTCGATCTCTTGAGTTTCTAGCTATCTATTTGGAAGTTGCAGAATTGGGAGATCGATACTATGCATTGTGGGGAATTGAGGGTAGCGGTCCGAGTTTTACCTAAGTTTAATTATTTAGCCTTTTACTCCTTATTTTCTTTAACTCTCCATCTATCGTCTTCGTCCTCGTGCAACTCATCACTACCTCGTGAGGACGTTGAGACCATAGCATGTTACAACAATGCGCGCCCGCTTTTTGTGTTGTTTGTTTTGGGTATTTTTGTGGTTTTTTGCTAATCTCATAGTATAGCAACGTATAACATGAGATGTAAGAAATGCATACGAGGCAGGTTGCAATGGTTGAATTAGTGGGGAAGATTTACAATTTCTATTAAAAGTTGGGTTTGTTTGTAAGGTTATTAATTACTGCCAGGCATGCATCACTTACACCTTTACCAAATATGTGTATTTACTTTTTCATGTGTTAAGAGATAAAAGAACAGTTGGTCTCTTACTGGTTTTACTTTTTCTATCTTTTTTGAATGATTGATTTGCTTCTTGCAGAAAAGTGGAGACGATTGGATGTTACTGTTTCCTTTTCTCTTTCCCTTATATAATGGGAGACTAGTCATTATTTTATTTTTTTGGTACTTTTCTTTTATTATACTCCCTTCTAATTATCCAAAATAAATTGTTCAATTATGAAAGTTGATCGAACTAGATGATTTGTTTGTTTAATAGAAATTTTTAAAAATCTTTTTTCATTAGCAAAAATCGAATGAATGTATTTTTGAATGTTAGTCCAATTTCACTTTATCTGAATTTGAACCACAAAAATGTGGATATATATTTTTAGAATAAAAGTAGAATAATACTTTTTACAAAACTAATTCTCACACATTATATGGACTTATTGCAATCCTAGACCACTAAAGATTGTGATGAGTTGGCAAAAATTCCTTTATCCATACTAAGAGATTGAGCCTCTTGACAATGAAATTATATATGCATATATGGTAAAGAGTGGTTTATTTTAAAGTGAAACTTTCTGCATAAATTTGGATTAGTTAGGCTCCAAAACTAAAATATTGCAACTTTAGGACTCATAATTAATTGTTTCTGATAAGTTAAAAGCCTTTTAGAAACTTACTTAATGCAATGCATTATAATGTCATCATTTCAAATTCTTAGTCCCTTACATTTCTAAAGGTGTTCCACTTAAGTTGAAGTATTCCACGTATGTAATTGTATCAAATAGTCTTCTACACATCTAATCAAGAGTCCCGAACCAAAATGTGATTTTTTTACTCAAACTACACAAATAGGTGGTAAAAAAAAGTTATATTTTTATATATAGCGCCACAATACCTGGCGCTATATATTAACAGTAACGGAACCGTTAATGTATAGCGCCAGGTATTGTGGCGCTATACTGCAAAAGCTGATATTTACAGGTATAGCGCCACAATACCTGGCGCTATACATTAACGGTTCTGTTACTGTTAATGTACAGCGCCAGGTATTGTAGCGCTATAATAGATTTTCCTGGCCCCACCAATAATTTCGGACTTCAATAATTCAAAAGCGTATAGTGCCAACGTTTTTGGCGCTATACATATAAAAAAATCCGACTAGCCATTTCCTATATAAAGAGGTTAGGATTGTATAGAAATTCATCCAAAAAAATTTGTTAACTCTTGTTGAAACGTTTATTGTTCTTAAATTCTCCAACAGTTTTTTATTATGTCTGGAGAGCGTAGAATAAGAGTTTCATTATATTGGGGGGTGAAGTTGTGATGGAGAATAATTCTGTGGGCTACAGTTTACCTGCTCAGTGTCATGTTAAATTGCCACTTACAATAGAGTACGATAAATTGATATCGTTATTATGCAAAAAACTGAGTGTGAGGAAACGTTCAGTTATAGTTAAAGTAACC